AAAAACCAAGCCTTTTCATCAACCACATCGCACTGTAAGTTGTCTCAAACTTTGCTCTGAACACGAAATCGTAACTTCTAGTCCTTGCACCTTTTCTTCAAAACATTGGTATATTCATGTTTATCATTTGATTTCTAACACAATTGTATTATTCAATTTTGTTATTGGCCCTTATATCATGATATTCGAACCTAGGGTTCATACGCTTGTGTTTTAGGTGTTTTCCATATAGGAAAAATCAAGATGAATGATGGTTACAGGGATAATGAGGAGACAAAGACGATCACGTCCATGTGATTGGATGGAATTTTTATGGCCGAGGGATGTTTTTTGAGATAAGCTACGAAACTACCTGCGGATAAAAATCCGCAAGTAAATAACCAGCAAAGTGTTGGAGAAGACGATGAGGTGTCGTCCTGTCGTTGGCCATCTTCAAATATTGCGCGCTTTTTTATTTTCAGGCATGTGTTTGTTTACCAATATAATAATCATGCTTTGTTTAAATAATGACTAACACGCGCAGCTCAGTTGGTGGCCATGCTATTGGAAAAGGTTACAGGACCTGGGTTCAATTCCCAGGTCCCCCAAAACTCAATACTATTTTGTTTAACAAATTCCTATGCAGGCTAGTCATTGTGCTCCACCATACGCCTCACCAATCCACATGCCAAGTGTCTCAAAAGACAGATCCAAAGGCCAGGGACGGCTCCACACCATGTTCCAAGTCAATGAGCATGCATATGATTCCAGGAGTCAACGTGACTTTGTGGCAAATGGGCCTCAACTTGCTTACAAAAACCCCCCTTTGGGTTTGCATTTTTTTTATTTTCTTTCTTATTAATTGCTTTGTTTAATTCTATTGTTTTTTTATTAGTTACTCATTAACAAATTATTTAACCTTTTCACAATAAAAAATCAAAAAAAGAACTAATATTATTATTATTATTAATTTCATGTTATTTTTGTAAATAAAATACTAACAAATAAAATAGTTTAATTAGGTCAATTTTAATCTCTTTTCTTTATAATAAGTAAAAACAATTTAGAATTAGGTTAACTTTTAATTTTATTTCTTTTTATTTTATTTCATTAAAACATAAAAACACAAAAAAATATTTTCTTAATTAATTAATTAATTAGTTATTAATTTTAATTTCATTAATTACAAAAAAAAAGACAAAAATTCAATTCTTTCTTAAAAAAAAGGGTCAACACCCTAGGACATCCCGATTCGATTCTCTCGCGCTTTAATTTATTTCATTATATTTATGTAACTGCTTCTGGAAATGTAATAGCTAATTAGGACCTCTTTTACTGCTTTATTTATTTTCTCGCAGTTTATTTTTACAAACGGGTTTTTGTTTTTGGCGATGTATAGACCCGCGCCTTGTAATAGCTAGATTTACATTTCTGCAATTTATTTTCCGCACTCCTAACTGTTAAAAAATGCATGAAAGAATGTATGTAAATAAAATTAATCTGTAGCTCACAAATAACCTGCAAAGATAAACATTGACTGAAAAACAACACACAAAGCACATGCCACTTCTAGGGTACGCCTCACTGGTTGCCTCGAACGTGGTCATCAAGTATAGGGTGTCTTAGAGGTCGCCCTTCTGTCTAAAAGATCTAGTCGCCTCGAAACGGTTGCCTCGGATAAAAAGGATCTAGGACATTAGGGTTACTTCTAAGGTGTCCTACCATTGCTTCGGTGACCACACATGTCCCGATAATCGAATTGACCCGAATACCTCCAACGATGGTGCTACCTACCTCTCAATGGTGGGATAGCACTATCTAAAGGACTCTTACACAGCCTAATTCCTTAGAGTAGGTAGATCTCATGGTACTTGCTCTTTTCAAACAAACAAAACAACTTTTCACACCGACACTTTCAAAAAGCTTTCAAACAAATTTTTCATACACTCTTGAGGACAGATACAAGAGTTACTTAGAAAATTTTAAAAGAAACTTTTTTGAAACCCACACACACTTGAAAAGCAAACAAATTTTTGAAAACATAAGAGCAAGTACCTAAGAGCCCATGGATAACCATGGATAGAAAGGGTGCTAACACCTTCCCTTTCTATAAATCTACCTCCCGAACCGAGAAACATTCTCGAATAAGGAATTTTGCTGTGCTTTTGTCCTTTCCATGTTGGAGAACATAAAAGACGGTGGCGGCTCTTGCTTACCGCGACATTTCGCGAAACCAGCTAAAAAACAGTCAGTTCTATTTCCACCGATCACAGTGTCCTACCAAGATATTAAAGAACAAAGTTCCTAAAGAAGTATGGAGTGGAAAACGACCATCAGTGAGTCATTTGAAGGTGTTTGGATCTATGTGTTACAAGCATATTCCTGATGTAAGAAGAAGGGAGCTTGATGACAAGAGTGAACCTATGATTCTGGTAGGATGTCATAAAACTGGTGCATACAGACTATTCAATCCAGTTAATGAGAATATTGTGTTGAGTCGAGATATTGTGATTAATGAAAATTCTGCCTGGGATTGGAATTCTAGCAATTCAATTAACAAGCCATTGATGAGTTTGAATGTCAGTGAAGAAACTGATGAAGCAGAGGTCGGAGGAATTATTGAGAATCCAGTCAAAGTCGAAGAAGAAGCAATTGTTGACATTCCCGAAACAGTCGAAGTCGAAGAGGTTATGGCTGAAACAAGCCAAAGACCTTAAAGAAATAGAGTTCTTCCAACAAGTCTTCATGATTATGAAGTGGTGGATGATGATGAGGTCACACCAGATGGATAATTAGTTCATTATGCTTTTCTTGCAGGTGTTGAACCAATTAAGTATAGCGAAGCTTTAAAGACTAAACAGTGGAAGTTAGCTATGGTTGAAGAGTTACAGGAAATCGAAAGAAATAACACGTGGGAGTTAGTCAAATTGCCAGCACATTCGAAAGCTATCGAAGTAAAGTGGGTGTTCAAGTTGAAACACAATGCAGATGAATCGATAACAAGACATAAAGCAAGATTAGTAGCTCGAGGTTTCTTCAAAGAGAAGGACTCGTCTACTCTGAAGTATTTACTCCAGTAGCAAGATTGGAGACCGTTCGACTAGTGGTAGCATTGGCATGCAACCAAGGCTGGTCGACATTTCATTTAGATGTGAAATCAACATTTCTGAATGGTCCTTTAGACGAAGAGGTCTATGTCACACAACCTTCAGGATTTATGATTAAGAAGGAAACGAGTAAAGTATATAAGTTGCACAAAGCGCTCTATGGCCTCAAGCAAGCACCTAGGGCATGGAACAAGAAGATCGACTCATACTTAGTCGAATTTGGATTTGTCAAATGCAAATCTGAGTATGGTGTCTATGTTCAGGTTGTAGCACAAGATATAACAATCATCTGCTTATATGTCGATGACTTGCTAGCGACTGGAAATAGCTTGGAGAACTTGTCGAAGTTCAAAGAGCTGATGATAAAGGAATTTGAAGTGTCTGATCTGGGAAATTGTCTTATTTCTTAGGTATGAAATTTCAAATGTCAAAACAAGGTATGGTGCTACATCAAAGGAAGTATTTCAAAGAAATACTCAAGAGATTCATAATGGATGATTCGAATCCCGCATCCTCACCTGTCGAACCAAATGTAAAATTGGAGAAGAATGTAGGGGAAGACAAAGTCGACGTAACTTTGTTCAAGCAAATTGTGGGATCTCTGAGGTATGTGTACAACAGTCAACCTGATATAGGTTTTGTTGTGGGATTAGTAAGCAGATATACAAGTGAACCAAGAGTGTCACATATGAAGGCTGCAAGAAGAATCTTGAGATATTTGAAGGGTTCGATAAATTGTAGAATACTATTTCGACGAGATTCTGAAGACAAAGAATCAATAGTTAATTGTTTTTCAGATGCTGATTGGTGTGGAGATAAGGAAGATCGAAGAAGCACAATTGGATATTTCTTTCAAGTATTTGGTGCCCCAATCTCATGGTGTTTGAAGAAATAACCTGTGGTGACATTATCATCTTGTGAAATTGAATATATAACAGGTTCCTATGTAACATGTCAAGCAATTTGGATCAGGTCTGTACTTGAAGAAATAAAGGTCGAAGTGAAGAAACCTCTTGTATTGCAAATCGACAACAAGTCAGCCATAAATCTGGTGAAGAATCCAGTTATGCATGGAGGAAGTAAACATATTGAAGCAAGGTTTCACTTCTTGAGGGAAAAGGTAAATCGAGGTGAACTTGAAGTTAGACATTGCTCAAGTGAAGCATAGTTGACAGACATTTTCATCAAATGATTGAAAATCGACAGATTTCTGAATTTGAGAAAGAAATTAGAAATAGTTCAGATTGACTATTTTTGAGAATGTTCGACAACTTTGATTATGGGGGTGTGTTGAAATATTAAATAAAATTTGTTAAAAATATTAGATTAGATTGGTTTTGATTAGATTTAATATTTAAATATAATCCAAGTTGTGTAGGCCCAAACCCATTTAGGATTGTATATAAACAAAATTAAGTCTTATTTATTTATTACTAAATTAACAAATTCTCTATATTAAATAATTACTAATTTGTAAAATAATCTCAATTTTCAACAAAAACTAATATGAGAAACACTTTCTTAATGAAAAAGTCTTATATTTAATAATGATGTAGAATACCTGAGCCAAATTAATTATTTTAATACAAAATTTAGGGTTACAAGATTATACCTAAACCGAACCACTGGACTAAATAATTGGAGTTAGCGAAATAAAAAATGAATTAGTTAATTTTCGTAATATACTAGTACTATATGACAACGTGTCATTCTTGAATAGGATCCAAAAATAGCGTTAAACAGAACATATTCTGTTAAGGTTATGAATCATGATTATTTAAAATTTAGAATTCGAATTATATAGTAATTAAATATATGTTAATAATTAGTTAAAAGAGATTGAAATATAAGCGGAGATAGAAATAGAAGAGGCACCATCGGGAGCGGAGACGACGCAAAAAACTATTATGAAGCATGAACAACATTCCAAGAAACAACAACAGCAACGGAGGAACCCCACAGGCTTGTTCTGCTTGTAAATACCAACGTAGGAAGTGCGGTCCAACCTGTATTCTCGCACCATATTTTCCTCACGAACGTCAAAAACAGTTCCTCAACGCCCATAAATTATTCGGCGTTGGTAAAATCACCAACATGCTTAAGAATGTTGCTCCTGAATCCCGAGATCTAACCATGTCTAGTATTGTTTATCAGGCTGATATGCGTGCTGCGGATCCTGTTGGTGGTTGTTATCGACATATTCAGCATCTTCAATCTCAGATTGATTATTCTACTGCTGAGCTTCATTTTGTTCTTCAACAACTTGCTATTTGTAGAGCCGCAGCTTCTTCTTCTTCCAACAATCATCATCATTATAATGATTATAATGATCATGAAGATATTATTATTCCACCTCATTATCAACCTCATTTTGTTGAAGAACAACTGGACGATGTTAATATGTTTCAACAGCCGCAAATGCAACCGCAGTATGTTGCTGATGATTTTGTCGGGGTTAACCCTAATTATGTTCCTTTGCAAGAGGATCTTAACACGTGGGTGAATTCTATACCGTTGTCTCCGTTAACTCTGCAGGATAACAAAAAGGAGGAGGATGAGATGGACCAAGAACGGGTTGGTGATGATCATTTGAAAGATGATCAGAAACCTGTTTTTGACCTAACGAATTCTTCGGATATCGGCAGACATAGTACTAATGATCCGAGACAACAGGTTTGTTGATTGCTTGTATATCATTGGTTCATGATCTATTTTGATTTGGATGAATCACTAGAGATGATCCTATAATGTATTGCATGAGTACTAATTCTTGACATATTCAATATGTATACATGATAGTGTAAAGTCATGCATGAAGCCAAGTTTGGTCATTAATTTTACTATACTTCATATAATTCTTATGATTTCTTGAGATTTTTGTGCTTACAGGAATAAGATCATTACTATAAATGTCTTTTATTGTTATGTTATTATGATTATGTCATCTGATATTGTGATATTTTATTAAAATATGCAGTTATGATAATGCGGTATTGTGAATAAGAAACAAGGCTGTAATAAAAGGAGAAGTAGATGGCTTCATAGATTGGAAAGGTGCAGCGCAGCTTTGTTTATTATTTTTTAAGTTATTAGAATAGACTTCAGAAACTTTTTGCTAGTTTTTTTAGAGTTAGAGTAGTGTCCACATTTCAGATTAGTGATTTTTTCGCACACAAGGGTTACCAGTGTGCATTTTTTTTGTAAGGCATAGAGTTCTTTCCTATTGCGGTTACTGATTTGATATTTTTCTGAGGCTGGAACAATTGTTATTTCAATATCTGCTTGCCATACTATAACAATGCCAAAACAACTTTGTGCATGAAAATTACGAGCTTATGTGGAATAATCAATACAGAATCAAAATGATTCTGTTTGTACAGTCCATTAGAATTAACTTTTATGGGAAATTAATTCCCCTGATTCTTAGGGCAGATTTCTCTTTCAAATACTGCATTCTGTATTCTATAAATACATCGTATCTAATTCTCATTAGACAAGGAAATATAAAATATATTTCTACATGGTATCAGAGCACGATCTGAACCATCCCTAACCTAGCGCCGCCAAACTATGGAGGATCCTAAAGTTGATGAATTGTTCAAAGTGAAGACTGGATCATTTCCAACAAGTTCACACGAAGGGCTCACTCACCTCATCCCAAGCCATAAATTAAATGGTCAAAACTATACCCAATGGGTAAGGTCAGTCAAGATCTTCCTCGATGGAAAAAGAAGGGAAGGCTACACCACAGGAGATTCTAAATGTCTCGAGAGCGGAGACAAAAACTTTCAGAAATGGAAACTTGAGAACAGCCAAGTAATGTCATGGCTGCTCAATACCATGACAAATGAAATTGGTGAAAATTTCATGTTCTATGACACTGCAAAAGAAATATGGGAGGCAGTAAAGGAAACATACTCAAATGTTGATAATACATCTGTCATATTTGAGATAAAAAGCATTCTTCATGACCTTCGACAGGGAGAATCTTCTGTTACCGAGTATTTTAACATACTTAACAAACACTGGCAGCAACTCGACATATATGAAGAGGTTACATGGTGTTGCTCAGAAGATCAAAAGAAGTATAAGGAACTGGTGGAAAAAGATAGGATTTACAAATTCCTACTGGGACTAAACAAGAATCTAGATGAAGTTCGTGGAAGGATTCTTGGAACTAAACCACTTCTCAAAATTCGAGAAGCCTTTTCAGAAGTGAGAAGGGAAGAAAGCAGGAGGAAAATCATGTTGGGGACACCTAACTCAGTTCCATACAGCGAGAGCTCTGCAATGGCAGCAAGAGGGAATCAGCCCCGGCCACCGCAAAAGAAAACCCGCCCCTGGTGTGATCATTGCAAGAGACTGGGCCACACAAAGGAAACTTGTTGGATCATACATGGAAAACCTTCAGAGGCAAAACTGTTCAAAGGCAAGGAAGGCAGAGGTAACACATCATGTAACAATCAAGAAAGTGAGGTATACCCTAACTCATCTTTTTTTAACAAAGAACAAATGGAGGCTCTTCAAAAACTCTTTCAGCAAACCATGTTAACTGTAGAAAAAAGTGGTACTGCTGTAGTGGCTCAAAGAGGTAATTACTTACATGCTCTAAACACTAGTAAAAAAAAACAGAATCATGGATTGTTGACTCAGGGGCTTCAGATCACATGACTGGAGATTTTACTTTGTTTAATAGTTATTCTCCATGTACTTATAACTAAAATGTTCGAATAGCTGATGGTACACTCTCTAAGGTCATGGGTAAAGGATCAATTATCATTTCACCAAATATTACACTTCACTCTGTTTTGTACGTGCCCAAACTGGATTGTAACTTGCTGTCTATTAGCAAGATTACAAGAGATTTGAAATGTGTTACTAAATTCTTCCCTAACTTGTGTGAATTTTAGATTTTGGAGTCGGGGAAGACGATTTGCAATGCTGAAGAGTGTGCTGGACTCTACCTCCTTCAAGTGGAAAAATCAGAAGAAAAACTCAAGAATAATTATCGTATTGCAGCTGCAGTTTCAAATGATAATAATCCTGTAATGATGTGGCACTATAGATTAGGCCACCCAAATTTCACATACTTGGAAAAGATGTATCCCTCTTTATTCAATAAAAACAAGGAACATTTTCAATGTGAAATTTGCCAATTGTCAAAACATACCCGAAACCATTACTCACCCCAATCCTATAAACCCTTCAAACCCTTTTCATTAATTCATAGTGATGTATGGGGACCATCACGAGTCCACAATATTACAGGCTCGAGATGGTTTGTCACCTTTATTGATGATCACACACGTGTTACCTAGGTGTTTCTAATGAAGGAAAAATCAGAAGTAGGGAGAATATTTGAAATTTATCATAAGATGATACAAACACAATTCCAAAGCAATATTCAGATACTTAGAACTGATAATGGTCGTGAGTATTACAACCTTGCTCTAAATTCCTATCTTCAAAAGGTTGGAATTGTTCACCAAAGCTCATGTGTGGACACTCCCAAACAAAATGGAGTAGCAGAAAGAAAGAATAGACACCTTTTGGAAGTGACTAGATCAATCATGTTGGCCACAAATGTCCCACGACACTTTTTGGGAGAAGCTATCATTTCAGCAACTCACCTTATAAATCGAATACCCTCTCTTATCCTTAACTTTAAGACCCCACTCTCCACACTTCAAAACCTATTTCCAACCAGCAAATTTTTTTCCTCCATTCCATTAAAAATATTTGGATGCTCAACTTTTGTCCATAACCTCAACCCTCACCAAAGCAAATTAGATCCAAAATCCATCGAATGCATTTTTTTAGGTTACTCTCTGCACCAAAAGGGATATAGGTGTTACTCTCCCCATACCAAAAATTTTTACCACACTATGGATGTAACCTTCTTTGAAAATCAACCCTATTACACCAAAACTAGTATTCAGGGGGAGCAATCATACATCGAAAATTCAGAATACCAACTTTTGCCTTTTGAACCTCTTGAACTTATCGAACATGACAAAATCTTACCAAACCAAACCGGTAACACTCAATCAGCCGAACCTATGCCTAAATCAGTTGAAAAATCACCAAACCAAACCTCTAACATTCAGCTGAGTGAAAGGACAGCAGAAACTGTGACGGACACAGAATCAATTATAGTCTCAACCACATCTCAAGATAATTGTGATCCAAAAACAGGCAAGTGGAAGGGTATTTGTTACAAAAAGAAGAGGAAGGAATTAGAGTCAAGTACAGCTCTGACGCAAGGCCATGAGTCAGACCAGACTCTAGAAAATGAAGTTCCCACAGGTAGTATTCTTCCTAACTCTGAACATATTGATATAAATACAACAGATATTGATATTCCTATAGCTATGAGAAAATGGGTTAGAACTTGCACTAAACACCCTATTGAAAAATATATCTCCTATGGAAAACTATCAGAAAGTTATAGGTCCTTTGTAGCAGCTGTTGACAACATATAAATTCCAAATAATATTCAAGAAGCACTGCAGAAACCTGAATGGGAAGCAGCTGTAACAGAAGAAGTTTAAGCACTTGTAAGAAATGGAACATGGGAGATCACTGCTATACCAGAAGGGAAGAAAGCAGTAGGATGCAAGTGGATATTTTCAATTAAGCACAATGTTGATGGGAGTATAAACAGGTACAAAGCTCGGTTGGTTGCTAAGGAGTTCACACAATCATATGGGGTGGATTATGAGGAAACTTTTGCACCTGTTGCGAAGCTCAATTCTGTCCGGGTTCTACTATCTCTGGCAGCAAATCTAGATTGGCCCCTACACCAACTAGACATAAAGAATGCATTTCTAAATGGGGAGTTACAAGAAGAGGTATACATGCAAATTCCGCCAGGACTTGAATCACCTGGAACCTCCAACATGGTGTGTCGACTTCGAAAATCTCTATATGGCCTCAAACAATCACCGAGGGCATGGTTTGACAGACTAACAAAAGTTGTCAAGCAAGATAGTTTTATTCAATGTCAAACAGACCATACTATGTTTGTCAAGTACTCTTTGGATGGGAAGATAACTTTGTTTATTGTCTATGTTGATGACATCATAATTACGGGAGATGGTGATAAACAAGTCAACCAGTTAAAGAAACTTCTAGCCAAAGAATTTGAAGTCAAAGACTTAGGACAACTCAAGTATTTTTTAGGGATGGAAATTGCACGAACAAAGAATGGTATTTCAGTTTCTCAAAGGAAGTACACTCTGGATTTGCTTCAAGAAATAGGTATGCTTGGATGCAAAGCTGCCAATACTCCCATAGAACAAGTAAAAAGGAGTGAAGATGAAAATATACCGGCTAATAAAGATAGATATCAAAGTCTAGTCGGAAAACTAATCTATCTAACTCACACCAGACCAGACATTGTTTTTGCTGTAAGCTTAGCTAGTCGTTATATGTCAAATCCAACTCAAACTGACATGAAAAATGTGAACAAAATTCTCCAGTACCTGAAAGGTACACCGGGCCGAGGACTTTATTTTCAAAAGAACTCAAACAGAGGCATTGAAGTCTACACTGATTCTGACTGGGCAGGATGTTTATCTGACAGGAAATCGACTACAGGCTACTGCACAGTTGTATGGGGTAATATGGTAACTTGGAGAAGCAAGAAACAATCTGTTATGGCTAGGAGTAGCGCAGAAGCAGAATTCAGAGCTATGTCACAAGGTATTTGTGAAGAAATTTGGCTTAAGCGAATGTTAAATGAGATCAAAATTCCTACCAATCACCCCATGAAGATATTATGTGATAACAAGGCTGCTATTAGCATTGCGAAGAACCCGGTACAACATGATAGAACAAAACATGTAGAGATAGACCGACACTTCATCAAAGAGAAAATTGATCATGAAATTATAAGTGTTAACCATATTCCATCATACCAGCAAACTGCAGACATTCTAACAAAAGCCCTTTCGAGGAACATATACGAGAATATCAGATCCA